CTCTGAAATCCATCCTTTGTTTCGCTGTCACTTTGTCCTCCAAAGCTCAGTTTTCTGATTTCCTCTGTGCGTCTCAAACACTGTGGAAATGTAAAACTCTTTGCTCGGTGTGATTGTTTGGCGGTTCAGACCTGCAGGAGTGGAAGCCTTCACACTGAATCAATGGTGCATTCTATCAATCCTCCACCCTGAGCAGAGAAAGAAACATTTATTTCTATTAAATTACTATAAGGGACGTTTGTCCTTTGCTTGTGTGACAGCTTCCCTCGCCTGCAATCTGAATCACTTCATTCCGGCTGTGTGGGCAGCGTCGGGGGGGATTTTCTGCTGACGTTTTGTTCCTCCCGCTCCCTTGTTGTTGCAGCGTTGAAGATGGGAAACATGCGACGCTGCTCCTCCAAACCTGCCTGCTCTATTTTCCCCCCGACAGCTGAAGCATTGCTGCTGTCGCCTCCGTCCTCTCGCTGTTTATCTTCCCCCTTCTTCCTCACTTTCTCTTTGTCCCGGAGAACAGACGTTGTTCCCTTCTCCTCCTCGCCGGAGCTTTTCTATTTCATCTTCCCCATTAGCGAGCTGGAGGTGTTGTTTTATTGTCTTCTCCTGCAGATCCAGGCCCCGTTTTCTCTTTTCTTATCTGTGTTTTCCTCCCAGATAGTGATGCTTTCCTCGTCCTCTTTTTTTTTTTTTAATGCATTTGATATATTGCGCTGTAGTTTTCGACCTTCTCTCGCCTGTGACCTGATAAAGAAACAAGAAAAATGAGTGCGTACTAGTTTTCAGCTCCCAAAAATCTTCACTGGACTGAAAAAGAGCAACACATACACTATATAGTCACCGATATTATATTATATTCTCTCTAAGGAAAATGTTATTCAGCAGTGAGAATGATCTTGTGCAGAGGATTGTTGGCATTTAGACGAAAGGTTTAATCAGGTCACACAAGCAGCTTATTCGGCGCCACTTCAAATGCTAATTTCTCCTTTTTTCAAATAAAGTTGTGAACCTCCTTCTTCGGCTGTTTAAAGTTTATTCGCTAACGTGTGAAGGAATTATCATACAGCCTTCAAACAGAGGATGAAAAACCAGAAGGATTGTTTTTAAGTTTTCTCAAAAGCCTAAAAGGTGTTTCTCGACCTTATTGTTTTGGCAGAACTCTGATCCGGACTGGTATGAATCTCCAACCGGACAAAAGCACGACAATAAAAATAATTATTTCGTGTAACTCGCTGCCTGAGTTTGATTTTATGGCCGTAATCTGTGAGTTCTAACTTTTCATTGAAAGCAGATCAGCTTTACAGGATTTAACGGCCGTTCGTTTGGATTTGATGCTGTTCCAGAAATAAAAATGCATAAAGAGAAAAAGCAGATTACACATGTAGTCACTGCACTTTCTGTGTTTTTAATGTTGTTTTGTTTAATCCAAAGTTCTGGTAACATGAATGTTCTTCATTTTATTGCTTTTCATGGCTGCTGTTGTGTTTTATTTGTTGCATAGTTTCCTAAAATGAAGGATATTGTTTTAGTTTTGCTCTGCATGTGTATAAATTATCTCCATTTTACAATATATTCTGTTTTTAGAGCGACTTTGAAAACTTTAAACCCAAACAATTGAATAATTTTATGGCTAATTGATTAATTGATGCAGCTCTGCTACAAAATGTCAGAAAACGGTTTGTTTTGTTTGGTCACAATGCAAAGATATTCAATTTACTGTCATAAAGGAGGAAAGAAACCTGAACATATTTTAATTACTGAGGCCGAAATCAAAGCATTTTATTTCTTTTTCCTTCGGCAAAACTCAAACCAATTAATCTGTGGTCAGAATAGCTGCTGATTAATTTAATACTTGACAACGAATCGATTAATTGGTGCAGCTCTGCTATGAAATGTCAGAAAACCTCTTTTGTTTTGTCCACAACCCAAAGAGATCCAGTTGCCGTCAAAAAGGAGAAAAGAAAAATATTCACATTTAAAAAGCTGCAATCAGGGAATTCTTTTTTTTTTTTTCTTACACAAATCACTCAAACTGGTCGATCGATTGACAGAATAGCTGCTAACTGTTTTATTATAGACAACAAATTGATGACTTGTTGCAGCTCTACCATTAAATGTTCATCCAAAGCCTGAGATGACGTCTTCAAATGTTTTGCTTTGTCCACAACAGTTTTCTGTCATCGAGGACAAACCAGAAAATATTCACATTTTAGAAGCTGGAATCAGAAAATATATTAAAAAGAAAATGTCAGAAACATGTCAGTCAGTGGTTCCCAAAGCCAAACGCAGGCTGCATCCGAGTGCCGAGTTATTTATATAAAGTTTTAAATATTGATCTGTGTTTTTAATCAATGATCCGCTCAGTCTTCAGGTTTATTGTCTTTTCTGTTTCAGACTCTCTGTGCATCCAGAGGTTCGACCCCGGCCTCGGCCTCATCGCCCCCATCAACCCCATGATGGCGGGAATCAGCCTGGTTCCTCCGCCCCCCGTTCCCTCCGACCTGCCCGTCATCAAGGAGATCATCCACTGCAAGAGCTGCACCCTGTTCCCCCAGAACCCCAGTAAGACCCCACACCCACTATAACACACT